ACTCAATTCTCGGAGAGAAAAATAAGCACAAGGTTGAGCAAAGACTTCGGTCCACGCCCGCGCTCTCCGATGGCCGGCAGGAAGTCTCTTTACTGCGGCCGCGACCACTCTGAAGTCCCCCAGTGCGGCGCTTGGAGTTTGCTCGAGGCAGAATCGGATCCCCCCACTCCCCTGCGCACCCCAAACCTGGTTCTGCAATCCTGGCTGGGTGGGTGGATTTTGGGGGGTTCTGGGCAGAGGCCTTGGGTTCATCAATATTCGCAGGGAGCTTTTGGGATGGCGGCGGGCTAAGGGAGACCAAAGGAAGCCGACGTTTGGGGGTTCCTATTCGGATGGCCAACTGACCAGGAAAGTGGGAGGGCAACCCTTCGACCCATCGGTAAGGGGATGAGGTCGGGTACATTCACCCAAGTGAAGCACTAACTGCTCGTCCCAATGAGTATTCCTAGACCCTCAAACTACCCTTGTGACATGGCCTCAAGAATAGGTACCCCAGATGGAACCTTGGTAAGTGGGAAACATGGACCAAAACCTGCGGTCCGAATCCTGGAGGTTCAATTCTGACCGATGGCCCATATTTTTCTCCAAGAGTCCTGGGGTCAGATCCCAGTTGCAAGGGTAGGGTCCAGGTTGATCGGTTGCTCCTGTTTCGGGTTCGTCGCACATATGCGAACAGCCCACTCCATTGTAACGGCCCGTGCTGAACACCCAGTCTGTGGGGAACTGAACCCCTGTGGAAGACCATAATCTAGACTAGATCAAAAAGAACTAGTGTGTTTGCAAGGTGGTGTGGCTGCGGGTTCCACGAACGGTTCGTGGATCCGATTTCGTCTTCGGAAAGAGGTTTCGAAGAGTTCCACCTTCGTGGCGCTGAGTCATCAAGGGGCACCAGATGAAGAATGACCCCAGCTGTGGATATTTGTCGCGGTTGGTCGGTTTTGAATTTTGTCGACTACCTGCAAAAATTGAACTCCACCTGGGTCGAAAGGGCCTTGCTTGTGGCGCGCCAGTGGATCAGTCATCATGATTTCAGACCGGCCCGGTTGTTCAGTGGAACTCGTGTTGCTTCTTGTTTGGCGGCTTCGCTGAAACATGGTAAAACCCAAAATGAATCGGTTTCCTTTACCCAATGGATCACTGCATAAAAGGTTCCTTTAAGACAACAAATGGGGCACCCTCAAAAAGGCACACCTGTATGGATGGCGGCTGAATCAATTTGCGGGGTCACTCTTCCGGCAAGCCGACCATGAGAGCCTTGAAAGCCGAGCGCGAGTTTGCAAGGCTCACTACCGAAGACGGATACCAAGGAGGAGACGGATGCCAAGGAGGAGATACGCGGTCCAAGGAAGTTCCATCCCACTAGTGCTATGCTGCTTTAGCCATATTCGACTTTTAGGTGCTTTGCGCTTGGAGGGTTTCTATCTCAACAAAAGCTTTTAGCAAGGCCTCAACGAACCGGTATTTTTCGCGGGCCTTGTTTCACCTCGATCCGCGTGTATCAGGACTCGCCCGTTTCCCCCAATTCTTGGGCTCGGGAAAGCCAGGATGAGAGCGAGCACGAGAAGGAGACTGAGGAGAAAGAGGAAGCCAGCGAGGGAGAGGATGTGGGCGACGAGCCAACAGGCGCAAGAGAACAAATATATATATATATATATATAAATTGGTCGCTTGTGAGGGGATCCGCCAGAAAACCGCCAGAGCTTCTGTTGGGTTTCATTGACACCAACCCAAAGGTGGGGGCCTTTTAGACTATACGCCCATTTGCCCTTTAAACATATAAGCGCGATTTGTCCGAACATTTTATACAACACAGCGCCCTAAAATCCTATCAACGCACCATAAGCAGTATTGAGCCTCCAAGCGTTGCCCTCGTCAAAACCGATCCATGTGCCCCCCCCCCCCCCCCAGGGCCTATGTTGCCACAGCGGCTTTTGGGGTTCCAATCGGAAGGGTCAAGGGTGATTCTCATCTATGACTAGTTAAGTTGAAAGAAGGCTCACAGAGCGTTGTTGGGGCAATCCCAACTTTGAGAGTGGGTTGGGGGCACAGGGGCACTTGTTCTCGGTGCTCGAAGGAAAGATTGGGGCCTTTGGTTTCCGAAGGACTCAGGACTGAAGGAGTTGGTAAACCAGACAATTGGAACCCATTTCGATCTCAGTGTGTGCCGCCTGCAAAAGTGCGTTAAGTGCCGACGACCTCATTTTGGCAGCATGCCATGTGGGCAAGACTTATCATGTTTGCTAGTCGAAAAGGGGGCGAATCTGCACGAGCCCGGAATGGGTGTCACCCAGCGCATCGCCTGGTTGACTTCACGGCTTGCATGGCCAGGGGAAGAAGATGAGGAGGTGGTCTTCCGTGCGGATTGCAAGCTCTGGAAGCTTGTGCTCCCGGCGCCGGTTTCACTCCCATGGTGGGCTTTTTTTTCGAGGATCTATGCGGATGCGTTTCTCTTTCGCTGGCAGGTAATTGCCCAGAAACCCGAAACGGCCGTCGGAACTGGGCCCCGAAGGCCTCGTCTTCGGGACTCCTGTTGGGTTCGGGACAGCCCCCCCCAAATCGGTCGCTGCTTGGCGTCTCTTCAAACCACATTTTTGGGGGGGCATCCAGAAAAAGCAAGCCTTCTCAGTGACCAAACGCCGGGGCCCCACAACATCTTGGGCGATCTCTCCAAGGGATTCCTTTTTCGGACTTGCCTCCCACGAAGAAACATAGAAGTGCACAGGCCCGGTTTTCAAAAGAACCACTGTCTTCCAAAGGTGCCAACAATGGAGTCCGGCAAAGTGATCAGCTTTTGAGCTTTTGATGCGAAGTCTGAAATAGTTGGACCCATTTTCATTTTCTTGAGGCGGGACACTTGTTGCTTACGTTTGGGTTTGTATTAAACTAGGGGTCTCCCCCACAATGTGTCATTTTCCTTTGGTTTCCCTTCAAACCAACCCCAAAGCGAGTTCCCTCAAAACAGGACACACACCTTTTTGGATCCTTTGATTCCTACACCTTGAGGTAGAAACCAAGCAACTCGAGGTGCCCCGGCCTCGCCACCATTTGTGGCTCATGTGCACTGAAGCAGGAAACAAAGGTCCCATACCCGATGCATCGCTTGGCAGCCAGTTGCACCCAAGGAGTCCCGACCATTCCGGGGTAAGGCGTCCGTTTGATCGGCGAGTTTGGTGAAACATGGGTGGGTTCCGCTGGTTTATAGGCCTATGTAGTGGTTTCCCGGCCGTCCCGCGGAACAAGGCTTTGGATTAGGAAGGGATCGATCCCACAATCTTGAATCCAGATACAGCCCAACAACAATTGGGCGATTTTTTGGGGAGCCCCCGCCCCCCCCGCTCAAAAAGCGGGGTGGGGTGTCCTTTTTGATTCCCTTAAAAAAACACAAAACGGGGTACCCTCAAAAAGACACCCCCGACAGGTAATGGCAGTCCCAAACTTTGTTGTCGGAAACCCTCTGCCATGTGGAAACACGAAACACATCCGTCGAAGGTGATGCCGAAACGGGTCGACCGCAAGGGAAAGTCGCCTTCCGCCCATTGGATGAGTGGCAGATCAATGATTGAAGTATCCCCCGTGCTGTCTCGTTTTTGTTGATTTTTGACACACCCCACGCCTTGCAGATGGGATGCCAAGAAACCATGCAGAAAGGGGCTTTGTGAATTTCGGTGTAGAGAGAGAGAGAGAGAGAGAGGCCCTGCTTCTCCCATCAGTATTTTTAGTCGGGAGTTGACATCATACCCGCTCAGGTATGAGCCGCTGAACCAATCAGGAACCTACCCAGCCCTGTTCTCCACCCCCCCCACCCACCCAACTCCCCTAAATACCTTCCCCGAAACTGTGCCTAGGTTACACTGGGCCAATTTTCCCTTTGACCAGCTGAGTTCGAGGATCGATTATGGCGTCTGGATGCGCACCGTGGCAGGTCAAGCTGCCGCCCGGCAAGGAGGACTCCGAGGCGTGGGGGTGGGGGTGGGTGGCGCCCCAGCTTTGAGCAGAATGCAAAAAAAGGAACTTAAATGTGCGTTGTGTGTTGCCCGTCTTTTTTTGGGCCAGGGTGTGTCTCCAATTTGGAAATAGAACTGCCCAAAACTGGCTTCACTTTGGGTCAGTTTCGAGGTCGCCTGCGGTGCGTGAATTGAGCTGGGATACTTGCAGCCACTCGAGTGGCTGCAAGTGGCTGCAAGTGGCCGCAAGCAATGCAGTTCTTTGTGGGTCCTCTTTTCTTGGACAGCACAGCTAGTTGATAGGCACAATAGCGTATGAATCCGTATGAACATGCTGCGTCACCACACAATGCTCACGTCTAGAAACAACAAGAAGCAAAAGAGGTGATAATGATTGTTGACAGCACCGTGACAAGCTGGCAAGTCCAGGGCAAGTGGAAGACCCTGAGAATAGATATTCCTACATGGATTTTGACTACACCCCTTTTGACACCATGTCAGTACATCACTGCTTGTCAAGCTTGTCAAGGGCTTGGAGGCCAGCCAGAGTTTTAGGGGGTGTTTCATTCGGGCCCCTTTTTCTCAGTTCTTCAGTGGCACCCTTTTTCCCTCTTCCCCAAAAAGGGTTCCCTTTTTTCTCCAGGGTCACTGACCAACTGAGTTTTAGTACTCTTTTAGTACTGTTTCTGTTGAACTCTGATCGAGACCTACGAAAAGTGCCGGGTCCTCGTATGAAAGAACCGTCCACGAAGCTGCAGGGCTGGCGGTGGCAGGAAAGGGGCTGCGGCATTGCCACCTGGCAGTCAAAAGGGCAGAACGGCCGTTTCTGTTTTTTTTTCTGAAGGCAATCTAGTTTTGTTTGTTTGTTTGTTTGTTTGTTTGTTTGTTTGTTTGTTTGTTGGTTTGTTGGTTTGTTTGTTGGCTGGTTTGTTTGTTTGTTTGTTTGTTTGTTTGTTTGTTTGTTTGTTTGTTTTCTTGTGTGTTTGGTTGTTTGTTTGTTGGTCTTTGTTGTGTTGGATTGTTTGTTTGTTGGTATGTTGGTTTGTTTGTTGGTTT